ACAATAACTGATGAACTACTGTTGGTCCACCAACCCGTTTATAACCCAGAATATCGACTAACATGTGCTGATTGTCACATGTAAGAGGAGGAATAATAGTTAGATTGTGATTGTTCGTGTGTGTTGCTTGTTCTAGTAGGCTCCAAGCCTCAAGTTCCAGGTTTCAAACCCAGAAACTATCACACAAATTTGATGCCTGTTTTAGACAATGGCATTCACTTGTTAGACTGTTTGATTATTCCAACAAAATGTATGATATGAAATGAGGAAAGAAAACACCAATCTGAAAACTTCTGTCCGAGAGCCCTGGCGTTCTCTTGTCGATCAACACAAGCTATCCTTATCAATATGGAGTGGTTGTGATGAAATCTTATTATACCCTTACATTGTCTTCCGTGATTAGGCCTATTTTTAGCAAGTGTGAAGGCTCATCAGGCGCTTTCCAAGTTGATGGAGAATGACTTTGTAATTCAGTGAACACTAGCGCATATTATAGTCAAATTGTACATGAAAATCCACATTCGAAATTTCGTTCTGTCCTCCATCTCAATCTCAATTTAAACGCTTAGTAATGGTGAAAACATTTTAACCTTCTTGATGAGCCTCAATCAAACCAGTAGAATACCATTCAAAGGTGTGGAAAAACGCGAAACCCCTATTATATATATTTTTAATTATAAAAACAGGAGTATTATGTACTCGGTTCCAATATGGTCGTTCTACTTCCATGGCTCGGTATCTTTGTGTGAATACGTTTTTCAATTTCTCTCTTCGGCAATTTGGCAAAAGATTCAACCAGCCCGAGGAACTTTTAACTCACGTATCCGTCTATAGAACCCAAAACGGTTATTGCTCATTCCATATTGATATTTGCTTCAAAACGGTGTGATTAATGAATACGAGATTTGTTTCCATCTCCAACCATGAAAAACGTCCTCCACGGTGTTTATCGCTTTCCCCAGGAACGTGTGGTTACCATTATGATTATGATGATTACAATAAAAAAATTCGATTTAACGGTTGTCTAACCGGGCAGTTCAACAACGGCTTTGCGAATGCTAACAACACCGTTCACGTTGTCTGTGCGTGTGCTTCGCTCCGGCTGTCTGACACTTGTATTTGTCCCTGAATCCATGTATGTCCATGTGTGCGTGCGCGCGCCCGGCCTGGCCGTCTGACACGCGAAATTGAGTTCCGTTCAGTGCCGCTCGGTTGTGCTTGTTCAAGCGCGCTTGAATCTTGTCCTGCCGAACTAACGCCACCACCACCACCACCAATTTCAGTCGGTACCATTCGTGGACGCTTGTAATCACAACTCTCCACTCCGGTTCGTCAGTCCAGAAAGTAGACCGTTAACCTACTGTCGAATTTCATCCTAACATGTTTTGTATATCGCTTTTATTGGTTGGTTACCTGCACGTCTCATATACTAACCTGACGGACATATGTGTGGGTAGGCAGATAGATTTACGTTGGACTGAGTCAAAAGTACTAGTTACTTTCGGAGTTTAGTTAATCGGAGTGTTGGATTTGTGGATTCGGCGAAGTTCAATCAAGTGTTGGTAACACTGGGAGGCGTTGGAAACTTTCGAAAACGCACCATTGATGATCGTTACCATTCCCAGCAATGTAACCGGTTTTTCGAAGCCCGCTTATCAGATGACCAGATATGTTTTTCCAAAAAACCGCCAGAAACTAATTTTCATCAAGTAAAGGAAACTTCCCACTGTGACATTCACTCGCATAGTTCGCATATTGTAGCAATCAATGGAAGGGGTTGCGATTTGTAATCACACATATCGGAATAGTCAATGCAGTGTCAGACCATGGTTTTTAAACATGTGCAACACTCCTACTTCTTTCTGTCTGTTTTGTCCAGATTCTTTTATCCTCTACAGAATTTTGTTTAAAGTTTGTTCTGCGTGGCGCGGAGTTTGAATTCGGTCATACTGTGTCGCTCAAGCAACAAATCACATTAGTTCTGGCCTCCATTTCAGGTGGATTTCACCCACCACTACTTAACACGAGAACGTTTGTGAGATGTCTCTGTGTGTTTCTGTCACGCAAACAGCATATTTTGTGATTTGTGCCCCATAAAATGTTTAATGAGTTTAAGCCGATAATTATTCTAAACTCGTTTTGCAGAACGAGAAAATATTGTCTAGATTGGAAAGCGACACTGACACCGAGACGGTGCGGCGCTGGGGTTACTCCAGTCGCACTGAGTTTAACGGACAATATTTTGTAATCTGCTGGCAACATTCGACGGTGCATTAGCCATCACAATTATAAAGGATTCGTCATGTTGTTGAATGACCAAACGCCGACTTGCATAAAGCAAAATTTTAACTAAATGTTACCAGAATCCTGGTTACACGAAAACATTCCCAGAGACAACTTGCAGTTGAATAATTTTAACTCGCATTGGGCCGACCACTCCACGAAACATCCCTAATTCGGAGAATGTGCTATGTTGTTATGTTAACAACAGGTGAGGTAAATGTGCTGCTTACACAACTAGGACCTGGCGTGATTCACCAAGGGCCACATTACTTTTAATGTATTTGATTCCATACATCGGCATCCAAATTAAGCACATATTGTGATCTTCGGTCTGCCACCATGATTACTTGAATGAGTGAATCCTTGAGCACACTCATATGCTGTAACTTCTCAGAATTAGGGTACGTTCGCCCACTAGACGTGATACACAACTACACGGTGTCCAGTGAGCATTTATTCTCAGTTCACTTTTTAGTCTTGGTATAATTTTTTTCTCTGATCCGCACAAAGGCACGTCCGAACAATCAGGCTGATCAGAAAGTGTTTAAAAAATGGTCGAACAACCAACGGTGAGAAACGTACCAGTCAGAGGTCACAAGGACCACGGAACCGGAGAAGCCTTAACCGAAGACTAAATCAATGCGTATACGTGTGATCGCAAATGTGTGTGTACGAGGAAAAGGAGCACTATCCAGCCATGCTTGTTCGCTTCGAGCACTCACCTCTTGGCAGTGAATGATTTCATCAACATTTCGCTGATTGTATTTGAGCTATCCTTGTTTTCTCACATTACAAATCTCAGTTCAATGACACAATCTCCCTAGAATGTCGTTCGATTCTGAGAAATTACACATCCGATTCAGCTATACCATAGAATCAAATGTGCGGTATACGTCAAGACACAAGACTTTATTATCTAACTTGTATTTACATACACTTGGTTCACCATAGAACGTTTTCAGTGAACCTCAGACAAGGTCGAAGCACAAGACAAAGTGGAAGCACAACGGGAGGGAGAAATACTTTGAAATCCTAGGCGACAAGTATCCCTCAGAAGTCTATATCAACGGCTTTTCATTGTGGTCCCTTTGGGGGCAATTGCAGCATGTTCGTTTGACAATTAGATAAACGGATAGTGACGATCACCTTGAACTTGTTTCGTCTATGGGGCTGAGGAACAGGTTGCACGACTGAACGTGTCGAATAGCATGCTGAGGTTGCATGAGCCCGGCTAGGCATGAGTACAACTTCAATGTTTTTTTCTCATGACAAACTGAA